ATAAGAAAAAAAACAAGCCCAAATGCTTCAAAGGGTTTCACGGTAATTACTGTCAGGTGAGGTGACTGTTTTACCGGAGCAAACGTGGCAGCCATTTTACACCCACATGATTTCACAAATATGAGGCGAATAAGTAATTTATCTGGAGGGTTATCGGCCAGGACACCGGGAGAACATCTCTTCTCTTTTCAAATAGTGAGAAGGGGTCTAAATCATTTACTCGAAGAACGGACAGACGGGATCTCATTTTAATGTCTCACTCGAAGGGCCACATCTCAACTTAGTGGCAGTGCAGACCTACTCCCGTTCCTCTTTTCCAAATTAAAACTAAGTTCTGGAAGTATAACATAAGAACACAAAAGGGTGGAAATCTGAGAGCAAGACACCTGGCATCTAACACCGTTCTTTCAGGTTGACTCGTGTTCTCTGACATCCCTATAATATAACAATAATAATCGTACATTTGATATAGAGATGTCTCAAAGCACTTCACAGAATATACTATAAAATGAATTGATTCTATATTTTGTAGGCGAAACTCGGCAGTCAATTCCACATAGGAGTGTCCCACAAACAATCCTCGATTGAGTTCTATAGCTTAGTGGTTAGAGCACTCGCATCGCAAGCGAGAGGAGCTGGGTTCGATTCCTGGCAGGGCAAAACCTTAGTTAAGTTTCCTTACTCCTCATCCCACTGTTTACTTAGCAGTAAGTAGGAACCTGGTTGTTAGTCGATTGGTGGATCGCTTTTCTGGAAGTAATAATCCCTTCAAAAAAATATATAGTAATAATAATTTGGTCACTCAATCCACGACTATTTGTGGGAAACTGCTGTGCACAATTGGCTGCCACATATGGCCCACAAAATATACAGTCAATTAACTTTACGGTATATTCTGTGAATTACTTTGAGGCATCTCAAAGACATAAGGCAAATGCAAGGATTGTTATTATTATTATAGACTGCATGTGGGTGACAACATGAAGCTGCAGGCTGCACATTTGCAGAACAGCTGTGCTAGAAAGGCAGTAAAGTTCTGCTGAAAATGTTCTCAAACTATAATAGATTAAAGGAGACCATGAATATGGTGCAAGACTGTAATAGTGGAAGAGGTCTGTGCATTCTTTTCCAAGAAAATATATGTTTGGAGGCATGATCAGGCGTGTAGTGCTCTGGGGAATGCCATATAAACCACAAGAGTCAGTGAGATGATTATACAGTTACCCAAGCTCTCAATGTTGCCGCCTTTTTAACACTCTCTGAGTCAGTCAGTTGTGTATTAATGTATACATTGTAAGACAGGTTTGCTTAAGCTAAATTGAGTCATCATAATGCAGATCTTCTCTGACCCTTGTTTAACTGCCCCACTAAAGCCATAGATTATTTGACAGTCATTGACAGTCTTGCTCCAAGTCAAATGATTTGACACTCCAGGTCATATGACTTTGATCCTACATGATGGGGATAGAGGAGTCTGTTGCAATGATATTGCAACATAACCACTTGCTGACAGAATCAACTGACAGAGGGAGAACGTTTACAGAGGAGCAATACTCTTCAATGCATGAGTTTGTTTTCATTGGAAGCTGATTACTAGCAAATACATTGGCAGCTAAAATGGTGGCAAATGTGAAAGTCTTGCTTAGGAGTAACAAGTACATTACTGCTGCACTTCCGTCAATGGCATCATTCTTTTGAGTTTGGAGGACAAGCGACTCGTATCATTTGTCGAGTAACTTATCACTTGTCACTCGATAAGTGATATGATTTTAGGGTGTGAGTTTTCACAAGTGGTAACTGTGAGAGCCTCAGGTCCGGTTGTGCAGAACTCATCTTATGATTGGGCTGAATTAAGAGATTCCTTACCTATGGTCCAACCCAGTTATAACACAATAATTGGGGTCCTTATAATGAGACCTGTGCTATAATGTGTCATAGTGCAGCCACTCACACTCTCCTCTGAGGACTCTGCACCCTCACTGTGCCTGTGCCGTGCACAGAAAGCTGGCCGGTCACTGGAGACTCCTTCTCAACATCATTTCCACGGTCACCAGAAGCCGTGAGTCGGTGTCGGTCAGGGCCATGTGCTATCATGTGACCAACTGCATTGTATCCAAACTCATAAACTTTCTCCCTCTGTCAGTTGATTCTGTTAGCAAGTGGTTGTGCTGCAATATCATTGCAACAGACTCCTCCATCCCCATCATGTAGGATCAAAGTCATATGACCTGGAGCGTGTCAAATCATTTGTTTCCTTACTTCAAATGCCTCTGTTTACCTCGCAATAAGTAGGAACTCAGTCGATTGGCGGATCACTGTCCGGGAGTAATGGTTTCTGCCAGTGCGCAAGTGGTCTGGTCTTCTCGAATACTCCTTGACCAGGTCGCACTGCTTGTTACTTAAGAGTGTGGTTGCTGTGCGGGGAGCAGCTTCTACAGTATAACCAAATTACTCACCCAGATATTCACATTGGGTGAACAGCCATCTTCGAATAAAATGGGCAACCATTATTATCATCATCCAAACTCATGGTATTATTGAGACATTTTATTAACGGAGTCTAATTCCATTGAGTAGATTTGTGCAAGACCCCTTCCCTCTCTCCTCTCCCACACTGTTCTCAATACCGATGCCCTGGACCCTGTTCAACCATTTCTTTTTGGATAATTAGCAAAATCAGGGGCATAATCTGCAGGGATTGAGGGGGTAGGGGAAGATAAATGGGACTGAACAAATTGCTCTTTGAAAGAACCAGCACAGACACAATGGGCCAAATGGCCTTTTTCTGTGCTGTAAAGATAAGCGCTTTCAGACGTCTTGAAGATGGGATAAGGCACTGTATCAAATGCAAGGATTATCATATTATTATAATTTCTACTGTTTTATGGGGCTCCACTCTTGAGTCTTTTTATTCAGTTAAAAAACCACGGCAGCACTAACTGCCAGTCAGCCACACGAGTTGGAAACCGAATGCGACGTCCAGCTCCATGGACTTTCGGCATTGAGTACGACTTGGGGCGAGCAAAGGGAGAAGGAGGGGAGAGGGTCCCACTTTGTATACATCAGGGTCAATCGTATTCAGATCGCGTAGGTTAAGAGCCCATTTTCAAACCCCGTGCCCTCAATTCAATTGTATTCCGCACTCTGCCCATGTACAGCCGGGCGATTGGGCAGCTCCTGTGCCAAGCTCGCGAAACATAACACTCGCATTATGTTCGAATTGTTCCGATGTTGAGTTTGAACAAAGTGAGAAAGAACAGTATTGTTTTTGTTACTGTTCACACCACCCTCCCCTCTTGCCACCCCACAGGAGGTGGAGGAAGTGTGACACATCGCTTCTTACGCCTCGTGTGAATTTCTGGGAACCGATGGGAGGCTTTTTGTTCATCAGAAATAAATGAGTTCAGAGCAAACCTTGTGTAAACAGGAAAGCTCCCTCCTTGACCAGGCTGGTCTTGCCCTGGAGTCAATGTCACTTGAGGTGATGTCCATCAGAGCTGACACCTCTCTTCCCATAGTGACAAAGAGCTGCTGGATTTAACCACACTCTGGCCCACACACCAGGTACACAGCTACTGACATCTTTCTGGCTCCTGAAGGAAAGATCAACCTCTCTCTCTCTCTCTCTCTTTCTTTCTTTCTTTGCAAAGCTGCTTATCTGATGCCCTCTGTGCTGAAAATGCCAAGTCCGCCCTCACACGGAAACTGCAGCGAATGAGCAGTCTGAGAGCAAACAATAACATGAGCCCCGAAATGAGAGCAGCTCACACTGACCGACCGACCGACCGACTGACCGAGTGTCCAGGCATTGTCTGCTGTGTGTTGGGAGTGTGTGTGTGTGTGTGTGTGTGGCTCATTAGAGGGGGTGAAGGGGTTGAGGAGGGGTTAGAAGAACAAAGTGCAATATTTGCTTTGCAGCCCCTACATGAATCGACAGCAATTTTTTTAAAAAAAAACCTTTGCTGTTACAGAGACAGACGCTCTCTCTCTCTCCCACACACACACACACACACATATTCTGCAAAGAATCAGGTTGAAGGCAAAGGCAGAGGCAATGTGGGAGTACAGTGCTTCTCCAGGTCCGCCTGGTCCCTGTTGGCAGCTGTTTGAGTGAAACAAGCGACTTGATCCAAGTAAAGTGACACGAACCTGAGCACTGTCACACACCTACAGCTTCCCCCCCTCCCAGGGCACTCACCTACAGCTCCCCCCCCCCCTCCCCCTCCCCTCCTCCCAGGGCACTCACCTACAGCTCCCCCTCCCCTCCCCTCCTCCCAGGGCACTCACCTACAGCTCCCCCCCCCCCCCCCCCCCCCCCCCCCCTCCCAGGGCACTCACCTACAGCTCCCCCCCCCTCCCCCCTCCCTCCCCCCCCCCTCCCAGGGCACTCACCTACAGCTCCACCCCCCCCCCCTCCCAGGGCACTCACCTACAGCTCCCACCCCCCCCCCGCCCCCCCTCCCAGGGCACTCACCTACAGCTCCCCCCCCTCCCCTCCCCCTCCCAGGGCACTCACCTACAGCTCCCCCCCCCTCCCCTCCCCCCTCCCAGGGCACTCACCTACAGCTCCAACCCCCCCCCCCCCCTCCCAGGGCACTCACCTACAGCTCCCCCCCCCTCCCCTCCCAGGGCACTCACCTACAGCTCCCCCCCCCCTCCCCTCCCAGGGCACTCACCTACAGCTCCCCCCCCCTCCCCTCCCAGGGCACTCACCTACAGCTCCCCCCCCCCCCTCCCAGGGCACTCACCTACAGCCCCCCCCCTCCCAGGGCACTCACCTACAGCTCCCCCCCCCCCCCCCTCCCAGGGCACTCACCTACAGCTCCCCCCCCCCCTCCCAGGGCACTCACCTACAGCTCCCCCCCCCCCTCCCAGGGCACTCACCTACAGCTCCCCCCTCCCCTCCCAGGGCACTCACCTACAGCTCCCCCCCCCTCTCCCAGGGCACTCACCTACAGCTCCCCCCCCCCCCCCCCCCCCTCCCCTCCCAGGGCACTCACCCAGGGTCTTGACAGCGATCTGGCGGGTCAGGGGAGGCGGCAGATTGATGCAAACCACATCCACGTCCTGGTGCAGTAAGACATCGTCGATCCTGTTGGTGTAGAAGGGCACATCCATCTCCTTGGCCAGTTCCTCGGCTTCCTCCGGGGTCCTCCCCCACAGAGCCTTCACCGTGAAGCCTTCACCCTTCAGCAACGGCACTATCACCCTGGTGGTCAAGCTGGTGCCGAACACACCGACTCCAGGTAGCATGGTCACTGAGAAACCCTCTGCCCTCCCCTCCTCCCCTCCCCTCCTCCTCTCCCTCCCCTCCTCTCCCTCCCTCCCCTCCCCTCCTCCTCTCCTCCCCTCCCCTCCTCCTCTCCCCTCCTCTTCCCTCCCCTCCCCCTCCCCCTCCCTCCCCTCCTCTCCCCTCCCCTCCTCCTCTCCCCTCCTCTCCCTCCCCTCCCTCCTCCTCTCCCCTCCTCTCCCCTCCCCTCCCCTCCTCCTCTCCCCTCCTCTCCCCTCCCCTCCTCCTCTCCTCTCTCAGCACCTGGTCTCCCCTTCCTCCTCTCCCAGCACCTCCCCTCTTCTCCCCTCCCCTCCCCTCCCTCCTCCCCTCCCTCCTCTCCCAGCACCTGTCTCCTCTCCCCTCCCTTCCCCTCCTCTCCCAGCACCTGGTCTCCCTCCTCTCCTCCCCTCCTTCCCCTCTCCTCCTCCCCTCCTCTCCCTCCCCTCCTCCCCTCCTCTCCTCCCCTCCTCCCTTCCTCTCCCTCCCTCCTCTCCCTCCTCTCCCCTCCCCTCCCAGCACCTGGTGTGCACCGCGGTGGCAGCTCTCACATTGAAAGAAGCGAAGCGATCAGTCAGCCTCAGCCTCAGCCCCTCTGTGGGTGCATCGCCTTTTCTCCCATCTCATGATGTCTCCCCCTCCCTCTCTCCCCGATTCTCCCCTCCTCTCTCTCTCTCTCTCCCCCCTCTCCCCCTCTCAGTTTGGATTTTCCTGACCCTCCCTCCGTCACACTTTTTTGGGGGGGTCACAAATAAAAGAATATAATGCAGAACAACGTGTAGCCGAGACAGGGGATTGCAGCTCTGACAACAGGTTGCGGCGGTCCAGCGCTCTGTGCAGAGCGATGATGGATGGAATGGAGGACTTCGCCTGACTGCCGCTTCCCTGCCCTCCCTTCCCTGCCCTGCCTCCTGCCTTCCCTGCCCTGCCTCCTGCCTTCCCTGCCTTCCCTCCCTGCCCTCCCTTCCCTCCCTGCCTCCCCTCCCTGCCTTCCCTCCCCTGCCTTCCCTGCCTCCTGCCTTCCCTGCCCTGCCTCCTGCCTTCCCTTCCCTGCCTTCCCAGCCCTGCCTTCCCTTCCCTGCCTTCCCAGCCCTGCCTTCCCTTCCCTGTCTTCCCAGCCCTGCCTTCCCTCGACTGTCCTCCCTGTCTGTCTGTCTCGCCACCACCTTCTCTCCTTCCTGCAGCTCCCTCCCTCCCTCCCTCCTGATCACATCTCTCGGGCCCTGCCAGCGACCTGCTGATTGCTACTGCGGCTGAACTGAGGGGTGTGTGTGTGTGGTGTGTGTGTGTGTGGTGTGTGTGTGGGGGGGGGGGGGGGGGGAGGAGGTGAGACAGACAGACAGACAGAGAGAGAGAGAGAGAGAGAGAGAAGCTGCTTTGCAAAGACGAGGAAGAGAAACCAATAAAATAAGAGGATGTAAGTGTGAGATCGCGGAAGCCGGAGCCGGGGCCGGAGCCGGGGGGCCGGAGCCGGGGGGCCAGGGGGCCAGGGGGCAGGGCCAGGGGGCCGGAACCAGGGGGCCGGAGCCAGGGGCCAGGGGGCCGGGGCCAGGGCCAGGGGGCCGGAGCCGGGGCCGGGGGCCAGGGGGCAGGGCCGGGGGGCCAGGGGGCAGGGCCAGGGGGCCAGGGGGTCAGGGGGGCCGGAGCCAGGGGGCCGGAGCCAGGGGGCCAGGGGGCCGGGCCGGGGGGCCGGGGCCGGGGGGCCAGAGCCGGGGCCAGGGGGCCGGGCCGGGGGGCAGGGCCAGGGGGCCAGGGCCGGGGGGCCAGAGCCGGGGCCAGGGGGCCAGGGGGCAGGGCCGGGGGGCCAGAGCCGGGGCCAGGGGCCAGGGCCGGGGGGCCAGGGCCGGGGCCGGGGGCAGGGCCGGGGGGCCAGAGCCGGGGCCAGGGGGCCGGGGCAGGGGGGCCAGGGGGCAGGGCCGGGGGGCCAGAGGCCGGGGCCGGGGCCAGGGGGCCGGAGGCAGGGGGGCCAGGGGGGCAGGGCCGGGGGGCCAGGGGGCAGGGCCAGGGGCCAGGGGGCAGGGCCGGGGGGCCAGAGGGCCAGGGCCGGGGGGCCGGGGGCCAGGGGGCAGGGCCAGGGGGCCAGGGGGCAGGGCCAGGGGGCCGGGGGGCCAGGGGCCAGGGGGCCAGGGCCAGGCAGCAGCTGCAGAGCTGCGGTTCAGTCTGATATCTGCCTTCTGCTGTTGCAGAAACTGCCCTCTAACCAACATGTCATGTCGCCTCTCCCTTCTCCTCCCGCCGCAAGATTTACACATCTCGGCCTCTCTCTCCCCCTCTCTCTCTCTCGGCTTTAGTTTGCAAAAGAACCAATGGAGGTCCGAAGCTCTCTGTCTGCTCAGCAGCTGCGAATGGTTGAAGGGTAACTGAGCAGTCAACAGAGAGGACAACAGCACCCAACACATTGGACACAGGCATCCACAATACACACACACACACACACACACACAGACTTACACCCTCACACACACACACACACACACAGACCAATGCTGATACAATTGAATGCACACACACACACACACACATGCAACCTGGGTGTCAGCCTGGCTCCGGGTTGCAGCGCTTCTGGGTTCGCTCATGGGGACTTTGAGCTCATATTCCAAGTCGCCCACAAATATATACAGTCAATTCACTTTACAGTGTGTTCTGTGAAGCGCTTTGGGACATCCTCCCGATGTGGAAAGCGCTATATCAAATGCCAGGATTATTATTATTATTGACACTCCAATCCATCGCCTTGGGACATCCTCCCGATGTGGAAGGTCTTATACGAATATAATATGTTGTTGGTGGTGGTGGAGTGCTGTGTTATTGGAAGTACTAAGGGTTCTGTGCCTATTCAGGTGGATGCCTGAATCCCGTGGCACTATTCGAGAAGATAAGGGACTTCCTCCCGGTGCCCTGGCCAACAATCCCCCAACAACAACAACAAGATTCCATTTATAAAGCGCCTTTCACGTCAGGAGGACGTCCCAAGGCGCTGCACAGTTGGGTCATGACCCGAGCAGGGGGGAAATGGTCAGGGGAGGGGAGAGAGCGAGGAGGGGGGAAATGGTCAGGGTGAGGGGAGGGAAGGGAGGGAGCGAGGAAGGGGAAGAGAGTCGAGAGGGGAGCTGAAGGCTCGGTCAAAGAGAAGATAAAATTAGTCATTCACTTAATTGTTAGTGGGCCATTGCCACATGCAAATTGGCCGCCATGTTCGCCTAGACATACACAGCTTCTAGGTGAAACTTACAGTAAAATTTCTGTGAAGTGCTTTGAGATCTTTCAGCAATGTGATATGTTGGTATATCAAATGCAAGGATTATTATACAAACTGACCCGAACACACAAACATTTACAACAATAACTTGCATTTATTTAGTGCCCTTCAGGCAGGGTCGCCTCCCAGAGCACTTTTACGTGCATAACGATACACTCAAGAGGAATAAACAGACACAGGCACATGCACACAGAGGCCATTAACATAGTGGAACACAGACAGACATGTACGCAAACACAGTCACACACAGGTTAGAGTACTCGCCTCGCAAACAAGAGGAACTGGGTTCGATTCCCAGGCAGGGCGAAATGTTGGGCAAGTTTCCTTACTCCACACACATCTGTTCACCTAGCAGTAAGTAGGAACCAGGCTGTTAGTTGATTGGCGGATTACTTTTCCAAGGTTAATAATTCCTTCAAAATAAATCATAATAATTTGGTCACTTAATCCACAACTGGAGTCGAGTGTGGAGACAGAGGGATAGAGTAGGGTGTCATCCATATTGACCCCATGCCTGCAGATGATGTTACCAAGAGGGAACATATGATATTGAAGAGGAGGGGACCAAGGACAGAGCCCTGAGAAATGCCACACGAGATGGTGTGGGGGCTAGAGGAGAAACCGTTTGTGGTGATGTAGTGGAGGCAGTGTAAGAGGTATTATCTGAACCATTCAAAGACAGAACCATGAAGGTTGAGATGAGAGGAGAAGCGGTGGATGAGGATAGTGTGGTCAACAGTGTTGAAGTCAGCAGAGACGTCAAGGAGGACGAGGCAGAGGGAACCCTGGTCGCAGATGGACAGAATGTCATTTGTCACTTTGACCAGGGCTGTTTCTGTGCTGTGGGCGGCACAGAAACCCGATTGGAGGGGTTCAAGAAGGGAATGGCGGGAGAGGAAGGAGCAAAGCTGAGAAGCAACAACTCGTTCCAGGACCTTGGAAAGGAAAAGGAGGTTGGAGATGGGGCAGTAGTTTGAGAGCAGTGTTGTGTCCAGGGAGTGCTTTTTTAAGAATAGGAGTGATGATGGCTGTTTTTAATGGGGTGGGAATAGTATCAGTGGACAGAGAGAGGTTTATGATGTGTGTGAGTAAATAGTTGTAAGTTGTGTGTCTGCATTGAATCAATTGAATTCAATTCTTTGATTGCTAAAATAACATTTTATTTTATTATATTGGGACACTGGACACTGTTTATTCCATTACTTAGACACTATTCAGTTACTGTTCAGTAATAATAAGGAATTGCATTCACTGCAATGTTATGCTGCATTAAATGGTAGTAACTTAATACAGTCATCAATATACTGTCCACTGAATTAGGTACACACACAAGATATGCTGAAGCCCAACCAATGCGGATAACTGGTCAAGTTAGTTCAACTGAATCCAGATAAACAGCATTCCTCTATATTTTAAAGATTCCTGGCATGTGACCATATTGTTTATGTTACGTTGCTGTTTGAATGCACATTGTATTAGGGTTCGAAGAATTGTAAAACTATTATTTACTACATTTCACAGTAAAATTCCATGAAGTGCTTTGCACTATATCAAGTGCAAGGATTATTATTAGAATTGACAGAATTTCCAAGCTATATGAGTCAGTCTGAAAGTGTTTCGACGATGAGCAATTGTTTTTAGCTTATTCTATACACTGAATTAGGTTATCACGATGTATTCACATAAAAAACACACTGTCACTTTCCAAATACTTCACTTTTGAGGGGGCCTAGAAAGTTTGCCACATGTCCAGCAGTTACGTGGACAAGCAAGTCAGTT